TAGATATTATATGTTATATGTTATATTTAATATCTATTTGATATATAATAATGTGTAATAATGTCTTTATGTATTAATATAAAATGTTAAAGCCTATGGCTTTTTTGTTCATTCAATTCAGAGTATTTTACATACAAAATATATGTCATTATCAGCATTTAACATGTAGGGACACCACCACAGCAGTGAAGTGAAGGTCCGTATGTTCACTTAATGGATCAGACTGAGAACAAAACCCAGGTCTCCAGTGTTGCAAAAGAGGGTGATGAGAGCTACTTATGGGAGCGTCTTGTAGGTGAATTTCAGTGTGGAATAAGTCAAGCAAGTAAGTGAGTTGCCTTGGGAATTAAGCAAGTACTGAGTGGGCTGTGAGTTTCTACAACCTCTGCTCATGCAAGACAGGCTTTGAGTGGGAGCTCACAGAAGACGGACCTGCGCTGCTTCGCTAGTTGTTGACTTTGCCCTTAGGATGTGATGAGTGAACATGTAACTCAGAGCCAGAATCTCTCTGAATTTCCAGGTAAACTCACTTATGAGCCATCTGCATGAAGTCCTCCTTGTGATTTTCATGAAGGGGTCAGAGCGCAAATGCAATACTACTTCTCTGACATCAGTTTTCCAAAAACAACAAAGCAGCCAACCCACTGTTAGAGGCAGATCGAATATACAGAAAGTGACTTGGAGGTTTTCAGCTGCTTTGCTTATTCCAAAAAGACACGAGTCATTGTGGCTTTGTGGGGGGAGGGTGTGGTTAGGTCACACAGCCTATATGCAGACTTTCTTTACCTGAGGTAAATAGATTTTGAGTAGAAAAATTGCCTGAGTCACCTGAACCTGATCTGCAGAAGAGTGGAAGTCTTCCTTGAAACAAAAATTGCACTCTTAAAGTGTATATGCTTTCATTCTTCTGTGTGATACAGATACTGACCTCCAAAAGGGTCACTGTACCAAGATTAGTGACCTTTTGAAATGAAATATTAAGATGGTTGATTGTGCTCAGTGGTCATATCAGAAGTGAGATTTTTCAGGAAGACAAAGAGGAAACGTATGAAAAAGGTTGCCATTTGACACAGATGTGAGGAGGAAGCTCCAGCTGTTTTGATACGTCCTAAGGATGTCTGACTGCCAAAGATTGTGCTCCTTGGAGGGCAGCAGACCAAGACTGTACGGGAAGTGTCTGGAGGACATCACCCAATGATGCGCTATCAAGCGTCTGTAGATGTGTATGTGTCAAAGCTCAAGAACGAGAACAATGGGGAATGAGTGTGTTACATCTGACTAACTGCTGCAGTCACCAGCCTGTATGGCAGGGTAAGGAAGGGATCCATGGCGCAGCGGTAACTCATTGCTTGCTAGCAGGTGGAAGGACATGGGAGATTAATCCAGCATTTTTTACAAAAATCTTAATTGCTTCATACTTGTATAATGTGGTGATAAAAAAAAAGGAAAAAAAAGTTCCAAGTCTGAAAGTAAATTACTAACTTCAACAACTGGTAGTTTACTGGAGATAGGAAGTAGGATTTGCTTCCTCTAATTTTAGGTGTATACAGTGTCTGTTCTGGGGTGAAACAAATCATGGTCTAGATTTGACAGACACTGCTGAATACATTTCTCATAAAGGGAATTTGGATAATGTCAGTGTGGGTTCACAGTAGATATCCAAATTAGGTGAATACTCCCTACACTAACGACATCTTAAAAAAAAAAAAAACTGCTGAATTTCTCATACGATGAAAGAGAATCTAACCAGTTGTAAAATGTCTGTGTGTGAAATACATGAGACAAATGGCTTGCAGCCCTAATCTGGTAACTATTTGTGTGCTGGTTTGTCCTCTGAGTCCTGAGATAGCGCTAGGGTAGATTGCAAGGAGGAGATAAGAGAGATGAGCATCCAGGAAAGGGGGAAGAGCATGTTTCTCAGGTTGCAATTTAAAATGTGCCTCTTTCCATTTGTAATGGCACTAAATGGTGTCAGGAGAGAGCGACTGGCCTTCTCTCAAGATAGAATGCAGGAAATAAAAGAGATTGTCAGAAGGCTGGAGGAGCGGGAGAAAATGAAAAATCAAAGATGCCTGGAAAGAACTGCCCGGGAAGAGATAGAGCAGTCCATCTCAGTGATACTGGTACAAGTAGCACAAATGGCTCTGTTAGAGTGATTTTAATAAGTCAGGTACTTGGCCTTGCTAGATTGAGATTTGTGTGTTACTGGATGGCTTGTGATTTATTTACTACAGACAAACTCCGGGAGTTATCTGGGCAGATGATTTCTACTGCTGCTGGTAATTTTTAGTATATAGTACTCCTCATGAAGAGAATGAAGATAATCAAAGTAAGTAAAGGAAGATTTTGATGCCCATATTGTAGCCAAAGAGATGATTATGTATCATTGTCTTCAAAAAAAGAGAAAATGTGAAGCATGTGCTAGCAACAGAGGGGGCACTACATGAGACTGATGCAGTTCGGCCTCCTTCTGAATGACAAACATGAATCAATCTAAGAGCAAGTGAAGCTGGTAAGGCACAACAAAGGGGAGATGCTGCTGGATTCAGGAAACTTGAACACACAATCCAATCTGGAAGAAGTGTGGATAGAAATCATTAACACATTTAGCTCCTCTAACCAAACCTGTAAGAGCCTTCTTCAGTCGTTTTTGTTGTATGTGGATCTGGGGAAGTACACAACAGGATTGATTGAGCAATATAAAGAACTGGCAGCCGTTGTGCTTTTTCCAGCAGAGTCCTTAGTAAACCACTTACTCACAAGAGCAGTAAGTGCATCTTCATATGGGTAAGGAGCAGTGATTGCATAAAACCAGCTGGAAGTAGACCGAAGACATAATCTCTGAGGCTCTCAAAGAAACCAAGCAGTAATACTCCAACAGGAAAAGATGTTCCAGAAATCATTTGGACCTGTAAGTGGTTCAGTATGTGTTTGTTTAGCTCTGATTTTCATACAGAAATAAACCAGAAATGCATTTTTGGCATGACTGGGTGCAAACTGCTGGATAATTTTCAATCCAAGAGTCAAAAACTTTCATACAGCTGTCCTGATTTTCTTCTGCGTTAAACACGTATCAAAGCAAGTATTTCTAACACATAATCTGTTTATAGATTGACTGGTGGAGAAAAATCTTGAGTAGAAGGTGTGGAAGTCTATGTGGACCTTATTCTGAGAGCTGTCTTGGCATTTGGAAGTAGTGTTAGTATTTCATCTCTGTGGAGAGATGAAACTTTCCATAACCTTATTCAGTGCAGCCAGAGAGAGTGAATTTGAAGGGAGTGACTGCCAACTTCTTCTGCCTGCAAAACCAAAGCAATTTTCACATGGCTGAAGGCCTCCTGTCAGTAGAGGTTGAGATGTCTATATTAGTTCAGAACGAGATGTTCACAGAAAGCCATGAAGGATAGCAAGGTACAAACAAGTACAGAGAGGGACGACAACAATCTATGTGGTGACCAACTCCTACAAAGCCGCATCAGACAGTAATAGAGGATTGAAAAAAAATAAAGAGGAAAATATCACCAGAATACCTCCTTATCACGAAACTGGTTAGTATACCATGTATGTGGGTAGTAAAATGTTTGCTTTTCTGCAAAGACATATGTGCTGATTTGGAGGACTGTTTTTCTATGTATATTGACTTGGCAGATGTAATCAGCATGTTTTGCACAAATCCTCATACCTGGTTGTTGGCCTCAGTTTACCCCTGAAACATTCTTGAGTTCCTTCCCAAATATTCGCAGTAGCCCCAGAGCAGCTAGGAGGTAAAAACAAGGGAATTGGCACAAAAATCAGTGGATGTCTGTTAAATTCTCATGTCACAGTGGTAAGCCATGCTTGCATCTGAACGATAGCAAGAAAGAACTTGTAACTAAGAAAAAGCAAACAAAAGGAAGGAATCCTACCTGGTGTGACTAGGTAGCGGAAGTCTTAGGTGGCCAAACCTGTAGGAACTGGGTTCATCTCCAACAGACCATTGCCCATGGAGTCAGAGTCAGTGCTATGTACTGTGGAGAAGCAAACCCTCTTCACAAGCATGTCCTCATGAAAACTCAAGAGGAATGAAGAGTGATCATTATGAACCCCTCTAGGACTACTTCGATGAACTAAACAGTTATTTTGTAGGCCATCATAAAATACATAGTTTTAACAAAAGTTGGAGTTGATATGGAATTGTTGAGTGTTTGTAGCAGTTACGAATTTGAGTCTAACTTTTTATTATTAGGAAAAAGCGGTGTGGTGTGATTACAAACTCTCTCTTTTACAGGTACCAGAAAAAAACAGCTAGCTAGCTAACCAGGATTTCCAGGAGGAGAAATTCTCTAGTTGCAGCTTAAAACATAGCTCTGTTTTTGTCATTATTAAATATTTCTCTACTGTTTTACAGCAGTGCAGGCACTCAGCAAATACTGCTAAATTGAATTCCAGTATTTTATTATAGTGCACTAAAAATCAAACATAAGCAAATAAATATTGCATTGTTTCAAGACGTGCATGAAGTAAGATTATTACTACAAGTAAACAATTATTATTTGGGGACATAATGAAAAGTGGGACCTTTACAATTGCAGTTTCTGATTTGCTAGTTAAATAAAATGGAAAAACTCTTAAAAATAGGATGCGGGCCATTTTACTCTTAAATTCCAGAATACGCTTATGTTTTTCCTAAAGGTAGGTTTCACTGTAGTCTTGGCACATACCTTCACATCTGCAAACTTCGCTTTCTTAAAATGCTGTACTTGTACATAGTGCTTCTATTTTTTGTGGCCTTTCTAATACCCCTTTTTCTTCAGGCATTCATGTTGCTAAAAAGATAGACAAACTGGGCATGAGGTCATCAGACACAGCTCAGATCTTTTTTGAAGATGTAAGGGTCCCCAGCAAAAACCTCATCGGTGAGGAAGGAAAGGGTTTTACATATCAGATGTTGCAATTCCAAGAAGAGCGGCTGTGGGCAGTAGCCTCTGGTAAGTCATCGTTTGTGCTTCTGGGGCTGGGCAGGGACACGGGGGTCACCCTTTGCATGACTAACAGCACTTTCATTCTAAATTGCACTGACCTCTTGCGATCTGTTTTTGAGATCTGTCATAGCCTGGATACAGACAACCTTCCCTTTCTGTAGGAAAACTTGAAATAGAAAATATTTTGTGAGGCATCACAGAGGCTGGTTTTGCCTTGTTTCTTTTTGTTGGTGCTTTTCTACTGATAAGAAGATATGGTATCATGTTATGTCTGCTACAAATATAGTGCAAATGCTATCAAAATACTGGCATGAAATAGAAGGATGGTGACTTTTCCTGTAGTACAGTAAACTATGATGTTCATCCTGGATTTTAGAAAATTAACTTAGTGCCTGTGTAAAGAAGTGGCTCTGACAGGATGCAAGAGCTTTGTTTTGCAGATCTGTTTTACCTCTGTACACTTTGGACATAAGTGGTACAGCACCAAATGCCTTTCCCTGACATTACGTTGTCACAGAGTTCCTGTTAGCCTGAACTCAGGACGTGTTTGAATCCACATATTTGAGTTAGACAGACTCTGGATATTCCAGATAACCACATCCAAGTCTGGATTGTCCATTTTCAGCCTCCCAACCTCCCCCCCACCCCACAATGTTTGCTTCTTCAACTTAAGTATAATGTAAGAAGATTGGTCCTCTTTAAATTTCAGGGTTGTATAAATAATCTCACCATATTCATGCTCCTGTGCATACCCCGTCTGTTATTGTCTGTGTGTGGCTGGGGAATCGGGAACTCTAAGAGTGATTTTCTGATTCAGTGACCAAATAAAAAATCACTCCCTGTTGTGGGTTGATCCCAGACCAAGTATTTTAGAGTTCAAATGCTTTAAAAAATCTTTGGTTTGGGTCAAAATTCTTAGTTCTGCCTGAGATAAATAGTACATGTGAGAGTCTTTTTAGCAAAGAACAGGAGGTTAGGCTAGCAAGGGATGCCACTGCAGACTGAGGCAAGGAGGAGGCATGGTCCTACTGCTGGTCCTGCTTTAATCGAGGCGTGCACAAACTGCAAGGACGTGCATCGTGCATTTTTATGCTCGGTTTGAAGTCTTAAGTTAAAACAATCAGAAACTCTGGGTTGCAGTGATACTCCCCAGGCAGCAGAGTAGCCTGAGGCGTTAGTCATGCCCCAGGCAAAAGTGACGTGCACTGACAGCATCAAAACACAAAGCCTGGCAGGTTAGATCACTCCTGTTAAAACCACCGGCAGCTTGGTACTGTCCAGCCTTGCACAACTGCACGGCAGTCACCGTGCTCTGCCAGGAAGTGGGACACCAGGTTTCAATAATTCTTTTTGCCCAGAACAACAGAGCAGGAGCAGGAACACCCTCGCCCTGGATGAGCAGCCTGGGAAGGGCATCTTTGCTCCCCCCGCCATTGCCAGGTGGGGGCCATCAGGGAGGAAGAGCCTTGGAGTTCACCGAGGGAGAGGGAGCTGCCTCCTGCAGTGCGGTGGCCACTGTATTATACCTTTCTAGGCGCCTGATTTTGCTTTCATCCACTCTCTGATATAAAGTGCATTAAAGCACTGGGAGCAGGGACAAGACCCATGGTTTGGGCCAGGTTGCAAACTTCAGAGGTAACCAGTTGTGGTAAACAAGAAAAAAGAGTAACTGATGTTCAGAAGGGAGCCAGGTGCTTGATGGATGTGGTTTGTTACACCACGACATCTAGCTGTTAACTTCCAGTCCTGCAAATGGTTTTACGTATGTTCAACCACAAGTGTTTTGCAGAAGGCCCAGATGTGCAAAACTATGTACGTGGCTTCTATAGTTTTGTGATTAGGTCTGCATGTGTAATCCTAGTCCTTGCTTCTGGCCCTCAGAAGGACGTTTCTGTTCCTTCGGAGTTCATGACTATTCGTGTGACATTGAAAATCATCAGTCTGCTTTTAAACACTTTAGGGACCAGTTCTGGCATCCTCACTTTCACTGCTTCCTAAAACTTGGAAGAGGCAGTGGACTGCCATTCTTTTCTTTCTTTCCTTTTTGGGTGTTGTTTTGTTGTGTTGTGGGGGGTGTTTTGCTTTTTGGTTTTATGTATTTTTAGTATCAAGTATCATATGCTCCAGTGTTCTCTTTGTTTATTAATTATTTTCTTTGTGGCCAAATTTCAGAACGTGTGGGGAGTTTCCTTCCTTCTTCACTTTTTTTTTTTCTCCTTTTAAATTGAATTTTCAGTCAAACATTTAAAATACAAATGGAAGACTAATTTCCTGGAATTGCAAAATTTGGTCACAGGTGTGGTCTTCTGAATGACGGTGTTATCGAAGTTGCTGGTTTTTTTGCTTCATTGAACAAGGAGAGCTGCCACGTTATCTCTCCCATGTTGTGACACTCGGTAAACACCGTCCATTTGTGGACCTGTTGCACTGATCACAGGAAAATAATGTTGCTATGGCAAGAAAGCAAACAGGTTTTTTTGTGAATTGCTTAACTTGGAGGCAAAGAGGGAGTTCAGTGTGTATGAGAGAGCAGAATGGTGCTTTTGTAATGACTTCTATCTGCTCTTGTCTCAGTTTTATGAGCACCATTGAGTCATGGCCACTAAGCAGGATGACAGATCCTTTTGCATAGGCAATGCACGTCCTTAAGAGACGGAGTGCTCAGCTTGGAACTCACTGTACATCTCACTAGAGAGTGATCAGCCACAACCTAAGAAAAAAATGTATTAATTTCTTTTGTTTTGAGAGGAGATGTAGCAAGGCAAAGTGTGTTTACAGTGAGCAGAAGTTTCAAGTGGAAAAATGTAAGTTGGATGGAGGTATGAGGAAAAGATTATTCTGCATCTGGCGATTTCACGTGCTTTCACAATTCTCGGCTGTGTGGTAGACCATGCATTCCTTAGGCTGCCCTAGAGTGACATTTCCTGCATGTGCTGTCAGTTGAAACCCATGGGGCCAAGTTTGTCTGAGGATGTGGAGAACTTTGTATGACAAAAGAGGAAACAAATATATGGGGCGGGGGGGGGGTGGGGGGGGGGGGGGGGGAGAAGTTCAGAGGAAAATTAGTTTCACTGTTAAGAATGGCATTTCTCTGTACTTATATGACTGGCAAAGTATTGTGTGCTGTTACGTGGTACAAGGTTGTTGGCAGTCAATGGTATTCACAATGCGCTGTGTTACACTGCTGTTTGCTGCACAGCTAAGCTTTGCCATGTTAGAGCTACGCTCATAGCCCTAAATACCTGTAGTCATAGCATCACAGAATGATTTGGGTTGAAAGGGGCCTTTGAAGATCATTGAGTCCAATCCCCCTGCCATGGGCAGGGACATCTTTCAATAGATCAAGTTGCTCAAAGCCCCGTCCAACCTGACCTTGAACACTTCCAACAATAGGGCATCCACAACTTCTCTGGGCAACCTGTTCCAGTGTCTCAGCACCCTCATCATAAAGAATTTCTTAGAATCATGGAATCATAGAATGGTTTGGGTTGGAAGGGACATTAAAGATCATCTAGTTCCAACACCAAAACAGTCTTCCTTATGTTCAGTCTCAGTCTACCCTCTCTCAGTTTAAAACCAGTGGCCCTTGTCATGTCACTACAGGCTCTGGTAGAAAGTCTCTCTCCATCTTTCTTATAAGCCCCCTTTATATACTGAAAGGCCGCAACAAGGTCTCCCTGGAGCCTTCTCTTCTCCAGGCTGAATAAGCCCAACTCTCTTAGCCTTTCTTCATAGGAGAGGTGTTCCAGCCCTCTGACCATTTTTGTGGCCCGCCTCTGGACCGTCTCCAACAGGTCCGTGTCTTTTTTGTACTGAGGACTCCAGAGCTGGATGCAGTGCTCCAGATGGGGTCACACCAGAGTGGAGTAGAGGGGGAGAAACACCTCCCTTGACGTGGTGGCCACGCTTCTTTTGATGCAGCCCCAAACTGTCCTTAGAAGATTTCCTCTGTTTATTTCTGTGTGCAAATGGCAGTTCCAGGAATAAGCAGAAGAGCAGTGATGGCGGCTAAGGAAACAGGAGGATGGATCAGCTGGGGCAGGAAGGAGGCAGTGAAGCAGAGAGGCGGACACTGTGAGTGCAGTTTTCTCAGGCCCCCCACTCCCAGCCTTGATGCATGGTGACAGCCTGAGCAGAGATGGGCCAAAACCCCTTTATAATCTTCAGTCCTTTTGCAAGCAGGACCTAAATAGGTGCTGTTCTGCTCCTTCCCACCCAGTCCTGCTCCTGCCTTCTCTTTGCTGTTTCCCGTCTCTTCTTTCCCTGGTGCTGGATGCTGGGAACTACACGAGCCATGCTGGAGCACCTTGCTCTGACAGACCAACACAAGACTAATCATCCCTTGTCCTTATCCCTCCCATCTCCCTTCTTCTCTCCTAGCACTGGCATGTACTGTTTAGTTTCCCTCCCAGCAGCTGAGACTCGACTGTATGCTTCCCAGGTATCAGTTTGAGGGCAAGGGACAAGAGGTGCCTAGACACTTCTTGCTCTTTCTTTAGCATCTCTCAAGCTGGAGATCGTAGACATACAAGTGAAAAACTGTTAGTGTTATATATGCTACAGTGTTGTGTTAAATGGTCCTTTGGAAGAACAGGGATGTTCTTCTGCACAAGAGTTGCCCCTGAAAACAGTAATTTTCCTGTCCAGAAAACCAGCATTAGCGTGGCAGCATAGTGTATTAACACAGAAGAAATGAGGACATTATCGTATATGCTCTTTTGAAAAATAAACATTGAGGCTAGTTGTTTGAGAAAGGAAGGTAAAATAAGGAATGAGAAAAGCTGATCACCTTATGAAATGTGGGGACAGCATGTGAAAAGTAGCACTCTGTGGAAGAGCTAGTGAATGGTCATGGCAGGGTGCAATTGGTGCGACGCAGAGTCTGCATATGAGAGTAGTATATGGATGAAGTTTAAATGGAGGTGATCTTGAAAGCCATGCAAAAAGGAATATAGAAGCACACCAGGCTCCGGTAAGGAACTATCATGTGAGTAACTGGCAGATGGGAAAAGGGATTTTGTAGTAGTCCAGGGCTTGGTTGTATTTTGCGTTTCAGATTCAGAGTTTTGCGGTTTAGATTCCAAATGTGAATGGATGCAGTATACATATTTTGAAAAGAGATAATGTGACCCTTGTCACACAGATGGATTTGTGAACTCTCTCCCTCTCCCTTCTGCTTGCCATAGTGACAGTAGTCCACATTTGCCAAACAAAATTCTCTACAAATTCAGCACCTGCTATTATCCTAGCTAAGCTGCAAGAGACTGATAGCCTAGCCCTTCACTTCAAGGCTGGCTTGCCTTGGGAAAGAAACTCTTCCCTTTTCTTCTTGTTTAAAACAGGGTATCTTTAAGTCTGCTCAAAAGTAGCAGTTCACTAGTTCTCTTGCTTTAAGCAGTGTCTGCCATCTCTCTCACCTGTCTTCCAGCAGTATCCTATTCTGATTCTATTTCCATTAGAAGCACTGTTTAGCATTTACTAAAAGTGGCTGTGAATCTTAATGTTTTTCCCTTCCTTTCTATACTGGGATCTGATCACAGAATGCAGACACAGTATGCAGTCTGTTCATGTTCCTTGATCTCTGAATAGGTTTCTGCCTTCTCCCTGAAAGCTTCCTTACATTTCTACAGCATTCCTCAGCAAGCACACTGTCTGCCTTCAGATTTTCTTTCAGGATTGTAACAGACCTTAAGGACACAGGTAACATGGAAAGCAGGAGTTGCCACAAGCTTTTGCTAGGGTCCCAAATGAGGTATTAAGGATAAAGTTTACATACTTGTCATCACATAATGCTCTCGATGACTTTCCTTCCCTCCTCCCCACCCTCCTTCAATCTCCTCCAGGTTTTGGCAGTTTGGGGCTCAGGTGAAAGAGGGATAAAGAGGTCTTCAAGGTACAAGGAAATACTAGACTTTTTTCAGAATTGAAACTGCACCCCAAACTGAGCATATGGAATAATTTACTTTAGAAAACCTAATGTATTGTTTGTACACTGTGAAAAAACCCCATCTTTTTCAACAAGAATTAAAACAACAGATCTGGCTAAAATGATGTCTTGTTCTGTGCTTTGTTTCTTCAAGTCCTGACACCGCTGGAAGCTGTAATACAAGAAACTGTTGACTACACACGCCAGCGGAAAGTGTTTGGCCAGTCCGTCTTGCACAACCAAGCCGTGCACTTCCGCCTGGCCGAGCTGGCAACCGAAGTGGAGCTCCTTCGCTCGCTGCTGTGCCGCGCTGTTGGTGAGCGCCCACATCTGCCTTCCCAGATGTGCTTCTCTTCATGCAGAGAACATTGTCAAGCTAAAGGAACATGGGAAGGTGATTGCCAGAGAGGCAGGCTGTGTTCAGTGACTCTGTGTGTATAACTGTGCCTTTTTTTTTTTTTTTTTTTTGCACGTTCAAGCTCTCTATGTGGAAGGCAATGATGTGACAAAATTTGCTTCCATGGCTAAGCTAAAGGCAGGTCGTCTGGCCCGTGAGGTGACTGATAGCTGTCTCCAGTTTTGGGGAGGAATGGGATTCACCAGCGAGGTTCTGGTGAGCAGGTTTTACAGGTAAGCAAGTGAGTGGTGAAAATAGGAAATGGCTTTACTGAAATTTGGCCTCTTTAATGTCCAGCTAAAAGATCACCCACTTGAAAAGGGCACCAGCTCCTAGCCAGTGTGAATGGTATTTTTGCGCTGAATGGCACGTCACTGATGTATGTTGTGGATGCAAGGGCATCCACAGTCCCATTGACTTTGGGGTGACATGTGAGTGTCAGGATGTAGGCTGACTATTCCTTTGCCAAATCTTGGCTTTGCATTACAACTGTGTAGTTTGAACTACCCACAGGTTAGCTTGAATGTCAGGTGAAAGAAGTAAACTCCATGTTTTCCCTGATGGTCCTCTGGTACCTGCCAGACAATAGGACAAGGGAAAAAAGGGGAAGCCTACCAACAAGTGATTTTTTTTTCTCTTTGCTCTTTGTTTGCTTGTAGTCTTGATTACAAGAACAGGACTAAAACAAAACAGAAGCTTTCTTCCAAAACCAATGAAAATCAGCTCATCCTTTCCCCCAAATATATGCTGTGAAACTGGAGCTCACCATTAGGCTCCTGCAGTGGTCTTTTCTGATAGCAGTCTCCACCTGATTAGTCACACCAGATACCGTGTGAGACGTATGAGAGATGTAGCTGCTTCCAGCAAGTTGTTAGATCATTAAAACGGTACAGAGGCCTTTTTGCAAATTAACTAAAAGACTCTTCAAATTTTACCATATATCTACTTAGAGCAAAATTCTCTCTAAGCAAACAGTTTTCTTGGCAGCTGTTAGGAAAATTCTGGCCCCGGTGTCTTACATTCTGTAGAAGGACCAAAATGGAACCTGCATTATATAGCTTTGATTTGTCTTTAGATTCCCTAGCCCAGTATGTTATTGCTAAGTGTGGGCAGGGCTTTTCTGTGTGAATTCTAGAGTGGTTTCTAAGTAGTCACTTTTCTAACAGACTAACAGTCACATTTTTCCTGGTAAGAAATCCAGAGTATTTCCTATTGGTATAAACTGTGTCAGCTGGCTAAAGAAACATATCTTCCTGCCTCTAAAACAAACACTGTTATAAATTAGGCTAAAGTGGTGTGATATCTATACTCTAAAATTTTCTGTGAATCAGTAAAATTCCATCATTGAGTAACCATAAGCACCCGGAAAGGGAGAAGTAGAGTGCTACCTAAACAAACAATTACAGGTTCAAGTCAGAATCTTGTTAGTCTGTAACAATAAGCAAAGCAGCAACTTTCCTACAGCTGTTCTTTTTTTGTACAGCAGTCTGCGTAACCATACACGTCACTGTGATACTTGTCAAGTAGCAAGCAGCGTAACTGCACAGCATGACATCTAGTCGTAATGTACAAAGATTTTTGTAGCATAATCCTTACCAAGTTCCCAAGGAAATGTTAGTCTTTACATGTCAGGCTGTTACTCCTCAAAGAGCGCACAGCATAATGCATGATCAGTGTATGAAGTCTTTGCATTTTAGTTATTAGCATTGGTGGGGAGATAATAAACAGACCTGGCACAAAACTGTCTGCCAAATTCCTTTATTCACATCTGTCATTTCAATCATTAGTCTTTTAAACTTTGTGGAACAACTGACTTTGGAAATTCTCTAGAAGGCGTAAAGATAGCTGTTTCACCATGTAGGTGCCTGTATTGGGCTGATTTTGTATGCGTAAATATCTCATTTTCAGTTGTAGGGATACTGAGAAGGAGAATAGGTTTGAAAAACAGTTTTAAGCCCAAATATCAAAGGGTTTAATAGAAAAATACAAGGCAATATAAAAAACAATAAGAGTGGGCTTTCCAGACTTTACCCTGCTAGCAGGATTGTGGAGAAGGAGAGCACCAGACTGGAGCTGTGTTTCTTTATTTTTCTCTCCCCTGTATGAAATGCCTCAAAGACATCATGACTTAGGAAAAATCAATTATTGAATAAACCCACAATCTATATGAAAACCCCAGGTTGTGAGAGGTCAGAGGGAGGAAAACTTTTTGTAGCAAGTATATTGCCATTTTTCAGACTTACTTCCTAACATGAGTTTTAAAAAAGTTCAGATAGTGATCTATATATTTTAGTAATAATTATGTACACTTCAATTGTTATGGGAAGAACTTGTCTGGCCTTCTTAAAAAAGTTTGGTTTTTTTTAAAATTAGGATTGTTTCTAAGTACTAAACACTGTGTCGAACTGCTGCCAGTTCTTGCAAGTTTTACTCTTGTGGGGTGTGATGGGGAGAATGCTATCATTTCTTTACTTGATGCATTGTGAAAGACTCGAGAAAGCAGTAGTGAAAAATATTGATTGACTACTCATGTGAAATAGATAAAGTGTAAATAGCATTGCAAATGCACATAGCTGCAGAAGAAAAACAGATTTCTTTTTTTCCCTCAACTGTCGCCAAGGTATTGCAATATGAAGTTTTAGTTGTAATTCAGGACAGTTAAAAATCAAACTTGTATATAGTTTTAAGTGGAATTTTTTTGAATAAGTAATGCATTTCCTTCTAAATTATTTTTCGTATTCCTCACATGTTTAAAAAGTCATTTGAAATATTTTATTCAGTATCATTCTTCATTTCATTTTTTGTATTCTTTCATTCTTTACAAAGCATGTCTAAACTAGAATGAGTCTAGACAACTGTGGGGTTTTTAATCAGTCTTTGTCATTATCACAATTTATGGTTGTACCAAACGAAATGAAACATCAATTTCTGCTGACAAAAGCAATTTGCTTTGAAGTCAGCTGGGACAAGACTTAATAAAGATTCCTCAGTCATCTGTGAAAACAAATCCGTAGTTTCAACCTTTTTCTGCAGAGGTTTTGAGACAGATGCCTGTCTACCACTTTGGTTGACTTTTATGAGTACCTTGAGAGGGAGTCTAGATGAAGCACATGACATCTGGCTCTAATATGGCAAATCAATGTCGGTAACTGTACAGTGATGACTTCAAAGCGGAGCTACGCTCCAGAGCAGGCCAAGGTGATGCCCACTCCTGCTCAGCTGTCCCTTCAAAATGCCCCTTAGGGGAAACAGGCAGGGCCACGCGAACTGGCAGGCACAGCCGCTGGTGGCTGGGCTGTGCCAGCCTGGGCAGAGGTTTGCCGCGCTGGGTGCCATCAGCTCAAACTTCTCCCTCTGGATCAAAGTCTCCTTTCGGTGCTGCTTAATTTGGACAGCCTATAAGAAATCTAGCTGAGCTTGAAGATGGAAGAAGTCACAAAATATTAAACTTGAGGGTACATCAATATATTTTGTGGAGAAAAATCTTGCCAGTAATACAACTTCAAAATAATAATTGTGAGAAAAAAGGGTAAACGTTTTGTAATCAAGTGCAATTTGTGCTGAAAGGAAGCAGCGTGTAAATGGCCTTCTGGGAAGCAATGATACTCTGAACCACGTAAACCTTGGGTAGGATTTACCAATGGCCTCCTAACCAGGAAAGCAAGGAGCAGCGTCTCTGAGGGACCGCTGCCATAAGCCCAGGCTGCTAGGGACAACCAGAGCTGGAGTCACCAAAACTCGCTTCCTTCCCCACGTCTGACCGGCACTGATCACTGCCAGAAAAGGGAAAGAAAATTACTTTGTTTATTTTCTCAGGACTTTAAAGTTATGTGAAGGCATCTGCATTGAAGACAGATAGTGCAGCAGGCTCCTCTCAGGGTGTCTGTGAACAGAAAGGGCTTTCTAGATCCCAATGCCGTATGGCTTTCAGGAGGAAAATGTAGCGTAGAGCGGCTCCCTGCGCAGGCACAGCTTCTCAGCTGCAAGTAGTCAATGGTAGTGGGATGCACAACTGCAAACACCATCACTTTTTAGCAGCCTGAGGCTAGAGAGAGATTTAGTGTGCTGCGGGCTTAGTGCCTATACAGCTGTCGTGGTTTAGCCCCTGTCGGCAGCAAGCACCACAGCTGCTCACTCACCCTCCCCCCAGTGGGAAAAAATCGGAAGAGTAAAAGTGAGAAAGCTCCTGGGTTGAGATAAGAACAGTTTAATAATTGAAATAATGATAATAATGATGATGATGATGATGATAACAATAATAATAATAATGAAAAGGAGAACAATGAGACAGAGAAACAAAACCCAGGACAAAAAAAACAAGTGATGCAGCGATCGCTACCCCCAGCCAACTCCCCCCAGTTTCTATACTGAGCATGACATCATATGGTATGGAATAGCCCTTTGGTCAGTTTGGGTCAGCTGTCCTGGCTGTGCCCCCTCCCAGCTTCTTGCACACCTGGCAGAGCATGGGAAGCTGAAAAGCCCTTGACTTAGTGTAAGCACTACTTAGCAACAACTGAAAACATCAGCATGTTATCAACATTATTCTCATACTGAATCCCAAACACAGCACTATACCAGCTACTAGGGAGAAAATTAACTCCATCCCAGCTGAAACCAGGACACTTACACTGAAAGCAAGTCTCTTTC